TATATATATATATATATATATATAGAGAGAGAGAGAGAGAGAGAGAGAGAGAGAGAGAGAGAGAGAGAGAGAGAGAGAGAGAGAGAGAGAGAGAGCAGTGCCTGCCAGACTGTTCAGATGATCGTCTGCCTGCTTGCATCCAAGAAAGAGTTCTACTGCAGAAACGAAAAGTGGTTTCATGAATGCGATCATGCCTTCTTTTGCTTTTCGCTGGTTGGTTTCATACAGGTTTTGCATTAAAAATGTGCTTATGCCACTGATATTGGTTGGTAAATTGGCTGTTCTTCATTTGCAACTGGATGCAGGAGCAGACATGGATCATCGGGGTTATCATCATGGTGCCAATATATGCTGTTGACTCTGTAAGAATATTCAATGCCAGCAATATGTCTCATTTGGTCGAGTTTCTGCTTGCTTGCTTTTCCAACTTCTTTGACCTTTTTCCATGCCGTATCCATGGGGTTTGCTATCTTGCACCTGTCTCTTATACACATCTAGATGTGTATAAGAGACAGGGGTTATCATCATGGTGCCAATATATGCTGTTGACTCTGTAAGAATATTCAATGCCAGCAATATGTCTCATTTGGTCGAGTTTCTGCTTGCTTGCTTTTCCAACTTCTTTGACCTTTTTCCATGCCGTATCCATGGGGTTTGCTATCTTGCACTTCGCCTGCTGCTGCTACACATTTTGGACTGCTTTCTGATTGTTTGGGATGTCGGTGCCTACATCAAAAGATTTGTGCATGATTAGTTGTGGTTGACAAGCTTGAGATATATATCTTATAATTGGTGCAAGAAGGATTCATGCAAATCAGAAGCAGGGGAATAGAAAGGGACGTGATGATGAAATCTTGCAATCAACAATCCTCACTTGCGAAGCATCCTGTACATGCACAAAGATGCTAAGCCCAGTCCCAGAGCCTCACCAAGTCAGATTTTGTCTGTGGATGGAATAGGTCACAGAGAAGGAACGGTATTGTAGTTCAGGGTGCAAAACCCAAATGAGAAGTGAAAAGAGATGAAGCACTTGTGATGAATGTGGGAGTGACGAAATTGACTGAACAGGGAACTCGATAATAGTGAGAAGCTTCCTCAACTGGAAGATGCAACTAGCCTCAATGCACTCGAAATGGAACCAAGCGCTGTGCGCAATAAGTCGTGAAGCCCTCAATTATGTCCCAGCATAGAGAGGAGGAGGATAGTTCCGTTAATAAAAAATAAAAAAAAAGATTGAAACAGCTTTTTGTTCCCCCTCCTCCAGGACTTTCTTCCACCACTTGCCACCTTAGCATCCAACTTCCTGCTGGTGCGAGATAGGTGTGCCCAACCTCCGGGAACAAAGCTTGGCTATGGCAGGTGGTGCCTGCCTTCCCTCAGCCTCCAGGTGTGAACCGCAGCTCCAGTACCACCAGTGCCAACAGGTAAGTCAAGTCTCCTGAGAGACTTCTGAGGTGGCGCTGATGGTCTGGAGGCCTGCGGGGCTGGGCGGATGGAGTTTTAGATGAGCGCCATAGCCATGCAGGCTGGTGATGACTAGGGTGATGTTCTGATGATGGAGGTGGCTTGGTAGTCTTGCTGAACTGGTGTTTCAAGTTTTAAGGCGGTTTTACGGTTCGCTGTGATTCTTGGCTACTTTTGGGATTCTGGTTGGACTTGGAGGGTTGGCGAGAGACTTTGGATCGTTCATATTCCTTTTTTTTCCTTAATCAGAAGGAATCCTGTCTATTGGTGGGAGCATCACCTGCTGGAAAACAGGTCCAGCGTCCCTGAACACAAAACATGTCACCCACTCTCAACGCTTTAACACATTATGGCCCAGGGAACCCCGGCAGCACTGATTGCTTGCCTCAGGAGGGATTCACTGTCAGTCAAGGCCACACCCTTAAGCCAAAGCCTCCCCTTGCTATTGATTACCGCCTTTTCAATATAGCAATCCCAAATCAGCCAGAGTAGAGTCAGTAGACCCTCTCAGCACATTTCGGTGAGCTGACAAATTTCCAGGACCCTCTAGGAAGCCTCTGACATTCTGGGGCTTCTTGTTATGGTCATGCTGCTGTGCGTAGTTCTCTTCAGCTTGGTGCGAATCTCTCTCCATATTGAGGCATTGGCAAGATACCTTTGATTGTTCATGTTCCATTCTTGTTCTTATGGTCATTCCGCTGTGCATAGTTCACTTCAGCTTGTTGTGAATCTCTCTCTGTGTCGGTTCTGTCATCTTTGTGTGTGTACGGGAACATGATGATGCCCTGGTGAGTTGTGGTTTCACCCAGTCACGTAGCAACGCCTACAGGTTGGGACTATCTTACATGGGACACAGGGACTCGGAATCGCGACCACGACTCTGGGATGCATGAAATCCTTTCGTCGTCGTATTCTTCTTGATTGGTGGTGGATGGCATTGTTTCAAAGTTGAGTTATGCATCGAGAATGTGGCAGGGTCATAGCACTTGGGCCGGTCAGATGGGCACGTGTAAGTCAAGCTAGGGGAGGTAGAGGAGATTTGGGAACTCGTTACAAACTTAAAGAACGCTCCATGTCCAGGGAGGCTACTTACCCGGAATGACGCGAATTTGGCATGCAACCTGGCTTTGGAATCCTTGTAAAAGATAAGGTGTCTGAACCAAACATATAACTTCCATGTAAGCTGGAAATATTTTGGTCAGAAAAGCTCACCACACACCACACCAAAAAATGTTTGTTTTATCCCCAAAGAGAGAGACAGCAGAAACCCTGGGGAAACTCTAATCGAGTGAGGGTATGTCTTGGGGATAAAAAAAAGCCTTTTCTGGTTTGGTTTTCTATCCTTCATCATAGCTCTTTCGTACAGGATTGGACACTCGAGGAGAGTTTCCCCAGGGTTTCTGTCTGTACAGTGCGATCAAAGGATATAAGAGAATTGATGAAACTGAGACACAATTCTGAGGAACCTGAGGGACCGGCTCTGAAGTGAAAAATTGCGGAGTTTTGCAAAATGGGAATACAAAAAGCGGGCCTACGTTCTATCGATAGTATCGAACAATAAAGACCTTCAAAAAGAAGCGACCTATTGTACCATCCTTCTTGAGCTCAACTCGAGAAAACAAACGAGAAGGTGAACCGTTGTCGTGGGGGAGACTGCAGAATCGTGGCACGAACTTACTACGTGAAAGAGATGTTTACAAAATTACCGCACCCGGAAATCATAAAGGCAGTCGAGTGGATTGTGCAGCACTGTCGGGACAAAGGGCACAAAATTACCGCACCCGGAAATCATAAAGGCAGTTGAGTGGATTGTGGAGCATTTTCGGGACAAAGGGCAATCTTGGATTCGGGTATAAAGTTAAGGGTAAGAAGGTTACTTTTGGTAGATCGCATGGGGAAGCAGGCTGGAATCTGTTCTCGATTGAATGAGCTAATCACTCTGACAAAATTTGAGCTCGACAGTTCCTATTTCTACTTCACACCACAGCTTTTGCAGCATCCCGATGGGGGGTATGGCAAAGGTAGGGCAAGCCAACCCCTTGCACATGTACTGTGCATTTTTTGCAGAGCAGCAGTTCCTCACATCCCTTGGACGAGACACGCGGTTTATTGAAGGTGGCAGGGTTCATCAACGACCTACTTTTGACTGGATGGTATGACGAGAAAGAGAAGGGCGGAAAGGAGAAGTTGGAACGCGCGTTGGGCAAAGTTGATGGGTGCTACCACAAAGATTTGGTATTAGACAGAACAGATGGTGGCAATGGCATTCTGGAGTGCTTGGAAACCAGAATGGTCATTACAAATGCACCAGCATGTATGTACACTTTTCATAAATTCAAGAACCTGGACACAATCTGCTGGAAAGGGAGGAAATGACGCTTCAGAACTCTGAGAAACTTTGACTCCTGTGCCCGGTTGATCCAAAGTTTGCAGCGGTGCGCCGGTGTCTAATGCTATCTGCAGGATAGTGGATACCACAAATAGGAAATTTGCAATATGGTGGAGTCTGTTAACATAGATGAAGGAACTTCGAGTAATGAGGTACCTGAGGGAGATCTTTGACGGGGGCTGAAGAGGGCTGCACAGAGAGTAAAGACTTTTTTTTTTTGAGATGACATGGCAGCACAGCTGATGGAATGTGGCCTGAAGGATGAGGGAGGGAGGGTGGTGTTTTAAGTGTGGCGCAAGCAAGAGAAGAAAAGGAGGGGGTTCGGGAGATCAAGAAAACCTGCAGGATGGAATAAAGTGGATAGATTAAGCTGTCATGATAGCAGAACCATCGGCCGGGGTGCTGGACCTTGGAATATAGACCAGTTTGTCCTATCCCGAGAGAAAAAGTCCAGCCCCAGTCCAAAATTTCGCAGCAGCATCGGAGGGAGGTCCGGAAACATCTGGAACTGGCACAATTTGCATCCTACAGGCCTCGGGGGACTGTCACCTGTCCAGAGTCAACAAAGATTGCCAATTGCAGCAGCTATATGAGGTGCTACATTAGGAGGGAGTTTCACTTGTTCATTAACTTCATTGACATGTTGCAGAGGTGCTGCTGTGCGCTTGTTTAACAGTTCGATGAGACTGGTCAGGTGACCTGACGAGCTTATTGGCGCGAGGTGCCAAAGCTAGGGTTGAATGTGGGAGGAGAGAGATATAGCAGTAGGGAGTGAGTGGGCACTGAATGCATTCAAAGAGGATTGAACTCTGTGTGTGTGTGTGTGTGTGTGTGTCACAGAGAGACAGAGAGAGAGAGAGAGAGAGAGAGAGAGAGAGAGAGAGAGAGAGAGAGAGAGAGAGNAGAGAGAGAGAGAGAGAGAGAGAGAGAGAGAGAGAGAGAGAGAGAGAGAGAGAGAGAGAGAGAGAGGAGCACGTACCTGAGCATGTCGGGCTTGGCAGTCATATCCGCATGTTACTTGTGTTCAGGCAATTGCAACAGTTTTCTCTTTCGTTGCTTTGCCTTGCGAGTGTGGTGTGAACTGAGAGCTTGCATGATTGCAAAATTGGAGTCAAATTGATTCAGATCACTGGATGTTTGTTATTGAGATCTGGTCAGAAGACATCAGTTCGAGCATTTTGGGGCTGCTAAGGGTTGAGAGGCACTTGGCTCTTTTGGTCTCTTGCTTTCTGTGGTCTCATGCTGGAAGTTCTGATGGTCACAACAATGTGTGTGAGCAAGACACCTCAATGGCTTCTGTTCCTTTCAATTGTGGTGCCTTCACTAAACAAGAAAAGAAACAGTGCGAGTTCAGCTCAGTATCAACAACTTCTTTTTCGCATAAGTTGGCACCATGGCCGTCGTCACTGCATGTCAACCCATGTATGGATTATCACTGATCGCTTAGGAGCTGCATTTGCTAGATATAGAGTTTTTAGCAAAGGCCTTGTGTGTCTGATCCTTCCTGTGTTGGTGCTGTGTTTGCTGTGGATGTCTAATCCTCCCTGTGCTTGTGCTCTGTTTGCTGTGGATGGGCTGTCCAGTTTATTTCCTTGTGGAAGCCAAATTTGTCTATGGTTTGTGAGATTCTTCGAAACTGTTATGAGGCATATGCCATTTACTCATTTGGGTGCTACCTCGTTGCTTGCCTAGGTAAGAACATCTACCTGTTGGCTACAACATCCTTCGGCTTTTGTTTAGGTTAGAGCATTTATCCATGGTTAGTCCGGTCTCCCATCTAGGTTAATGTTGGAGGGAGGAAAGGACAGGCAGATGAGTCATGAATGACACGGAAGGAAAGGAGTTGAGGAGGGGAGTTGAGGGTGAACATAGATCGAGTATGTGTGAACCAGTGGGGACACCAGACAAAGATGCACGGTGATGAAGAGGTGGGCGATGGGGGAAGAAATGGATGAAGGGCAGAGGCATCTGACAGCAACACAGACGTTTTCCGCCATGTATGTATGCTTGTCCAAAATTTGACTACTGCCCGCCCTCTGTGTGAAGATTGTCCACCCTGTATGTACCTCTGTTCAAAGATTGCCCACACTGTATGTACCTCTACTCTAAGATTGCCCCCCTTCCCCCCCCTCCTCTGCGTACCTCCAGTTTGAGGACTCCACCCCCTGCATGTACCGCTGCTTGAGATTCCCGACCCTGTATGTACTTTCTATTAAAAGGTTACTGGCCCTGTATGTTATATTTGAAGATTGCTTGGCTTGTGTATACTTGTATTTGTACTATTTGAAGTATTTCACATTGTGTATCCTGTATGCAAGCACTGCTATTCAGTGATTGCCTGCCGTGTATGTACTTCGGTTCGTTATACACTTCGATCCAAGGATCACTGGGCCCGTGGTGGAAGTCAGAAATGTGCTCCACTGCCATCCTTGTAACCAGACGGACCGAGGTCGTCGCTCCCAATACACATGGGCCAGGAACAGTGCATATTGAGTGCACGGTCCGCAATGTGGCAATGGTTTCCGCAGTCCCACAGGATCGCGTGTGCACCAGACACAAGGTGCAGCCACCTGTGCAGCATTCGCACGACTAGCAGCTGGTATGAGTGCATGTGCATCAGCCCCCGCTTCGTGAACTGACCCTCCACTTCTGATTCACTTTGTCCCAACTATTCCTCTGCTCCGGTTGACTTGATGGCTCTGGCGGTGAATGCCGAGAACCCTATGAAATTTGGCTATTCACTGTTGCTTTTGTGTCCCCCCACCTACCTCTTTTTCCTCTCCCTTCTACCTCCCTCCTGTCATGCAGAACTTCGCCCTCCCACCTTGTTAATGTTCTTGGTTTGTTTATGTGATGGCCCTCTGCTTTTGCTCGCAGGTGCCCAGGTTCAATGCATATGAATGAACATCATTAAGAGAATAGTGCTGAATACTGAACAGGACTATCCCTCCCCTTTTACTCTGCCTCCTTTTCATCACGTACAAGTGGACCGTTAAGGCACAGGGGGATGTGGTGGCAGCTCACGCTCAACCACAATCAATGTAGTGAGGCTTATACGTGAGAGGCACAGCAAAAGGGGAGCAGCAAGACAGGACAACAATGAAAGAGCTGCATAAGGAAAAAGCAATATAATGACAATGACATCATTGCATAACGACATGGCAATATCATGGTTTTTGTGTGCTTCATGATGTTCGCTGTAGAAGATTTCAAGGTCAAACAGCAGCATTTTTGCATTCTGGATCTACTCATCTGGATGAAAAAGGGGTTGTTATGGTGGTGGTTTGTATGTAGAAGAAACTTAAGTTCAAGCACTTTGTTTCAAATTTGGATGTACTCATCTGGGTGGAATAGAGGAGGAAGGGGAAGGGAACCGAGAGGAAGACTTACCTTTGGCTATGGTGGAAATTCATCTCTACTTACCTGGTTGAGGTACTGGCTGGGCATGGACTCCATCTCCTTCATTCTCTTCTCATTCCACTTCTGCCTTGAATTACCTTGATTGTCATTTTCTCAAATAAGTTTTTCGTCAAGAATTGGGCAGGATCATAACATAGCTCCTTTATGTTCGCAGGTGGGGAAAGCAGGGTGATTGAGAAACTGGAAGCACAAGCAGTGGATTTCTTTGACGATCCAAGCACTCCGCTTCTTGGTGAAGGTGACAAGGAGCTAGGTTATGCAGCAACTGTGCATGAGGATGAACAACCCTTACTGTCTGCAGCACGTGGATGTGTTACAGCATTCTTTGCAAAACATTCCACTGCGGCAAGTAGGCAAGGCGAGGTCAGGCATCCGATTGGCTTGGCCTTCTGCCTTGACCCGTGGATTGTGGGAGATCGCTTTTACCGTATAGTGAAGGTTGGCATTGTGCAATATGTAAGTGTCGAAAACCTGCCATGCCTCACAATTATATGGAACATTGGAACTTCAATCTCATCTATTGTAATAGCTTACACAACCTGGGCACACATGAAATGGATGCAATGCAATTCATATCTACAGATCTACTTTCATATCCCCACGGCCTCCTGTGGCGCTCTGCAGGTTCACCAGCTGAGATAGTCAGCTTGCCCCCCCTGGTAGATTGGTAGGGGTTACGGACCCTTCCATTTGTTGCCAGAGGTATAGGTTCAAACTTCAAACCCAGAGGGGATTGGCCCAACCCTGAGGGAAGAGGTTCGACCTCACTTCGCTTGGGTAGATAGGTGGGTAGGCTGCGCTCTCGCGAAACCCATTACCCTTCGCTAATTGTGTATAGATATGGATTGTGGGGGTAGGTAACATTTGAGGTGAGTATTTTCGAACCGTCAAAGGAACTAGTGGTTTAAGAAAAAGAAAATCTACAGATCCAGAATAGAAGATGGAGAAACACACAGAAGAAAAAGTTGCAGAAGCTCATGAGAAATGAAAACTTCAATGAACCAGGCTTTTGATGACACTTGTCCTTCTGGAAGTACTGCCCGCTCTTACTGTGATCAAAGAAATAACATTCAATTAATGTTTTCTTTAGTCCAAGCAGGCAATGAAAAGGCATGACGTGACAAGGCATGGGATGACAAGAAAACACCGAAGGACCAAGGCTGGAGGGCACAGGGGATGCAGGAGGGCAGATGACACACAAGCACACCGAGCAGGTGGGAGGGCAGACAAAATGCAAGCACACCAGACAAGCAAACCAGAACACAAATACAAGTCCCAGAAAATGCAAAGACCAAAAAAAAAAAAAAAAAAAAAAAAGAGTTGATGTCAACTGATGGTAGATTGTTTCGTCGGAGTTTGCACCGACTCATCAGGAAGCTGAACCCTCGTCAATCTGCAGAATCTCTGTATTTGATGGTTTGGGTCATGAACCCTTTGATCCATGTTAAAGGCAGACTGTCCCCAAGCGGAACATAGCAGCAGGCAGAGCACCAGGCAAAGCAGTAGGGGCAACATGGCTGCAGAATGCCAAAAACGACTGCAAAGAGCGACACGGGACGCAGGACACACAGTGCAGCAACCACGCAGTGAAGAAAAAGGCAACACCACCAAGGCAACTACTCTGCAAGGGACGGCAGGGCAAGTGGACGACCAGCACAGCAACCATGCGGTGAAGCCAAGGCAACACCAACAAGACAACCGAACTACAAGGTGCACAAGCAAAGGACACGGAAGGCACGGCCAGTGGAAGGACGGAAAGGCAGAGGAGCAGCAAAGCGCAAGGCAACACCAACAGCACGGCCACACCACATAGCAGCTTGCCAAGAACGACCTGTGAAGCAAGCGGGACGGGCAGCAAGGCAGCGGTGGAGCGCAGACGAGGCAGTCCACACATCCAACATGGCACGAAGCGGCACATGACCTACTCACATCAAGGGTGAACCCCGCAGACTGTTGGTTCCCAACTTCCCACCACCCACTGAGCCAGGGAGTCACTCCGATGAACATCCATCATCACCCGTAGGAAGGACAGATATCCCGAACTGAGTGCCCCCCCTAAGAGTGCTATAGGCACTCCGAAAGATGAGTGAGTGACTGTTTGGCACTGCTTAAGGGTGCTGAAACGGTTTTCACCTTTTAGCAGTAGCGGATGCAGTACCCAGGGTTCGATCCCTAGACCTCACCCTACCCATGTACAGTATCTGTGTAGACCCCGGGAATTGAACCTGTGACCTGTGTATTCGTAGGCAGTTGGTAGGCCTATCGTAGGTCCATAGGCAGCAGGGGTTCGATCTGTAGGTCTATAGTGTAGGAGTCTTAGTGAGTTCCGGAAGCTTAGCCGTAGACCTTCTAGAAGGTAGGCAAGTGGGCAAGTGGTCAAGTGGTGAGGCAAGTGGTGAGGCAAGTGGTGGACTAAACCGCAGTGCAACAGCAGTACAACGTCGGTAGGATAGCGGTGAGTCCACAGTCAGTCAGC